CTGCCTTATCCAGATATCTGATAAAGAATTAGGGAGGGCGGGGGAAGGGGGCATGTAATCCAGGAGAGTAGTGCATAGTCAAGAGGAAAGTTAACTTGTGATTCATATAAGGTTTTGAAACCACTGCTGTCTAGAAGATATGAGATGCGCCTTAAGAATGTAAGTTTCTTGGCGCCTTGCCTTCACGTGGCTCTTTATGGTCATTAACAGTCTAACATCATCTCCCAAGAAGTCAACTAATGTGTTCCATAGACCTGTATGCTCGTCCTAGATGCTCTATCATGCTCTGTAGACATCGTCGTCGCCTGTGTATTCCCTGTTTAAATGTGACCTGCCATCGTCTTCCTCAGGTAGAAATTCCTCACCATGATTCTTTTTTCAAATGTCTCTTCTTTATTCCATGAAGCGCCTTGTTCACTCTCAGTTGGATTTATATTTTGGAGTATACAAAATACAGGGTCTTTAGACAAGGTTCATAATTTGTTAGGCTTAGCTGGTTCTACTGTCAAGTTCACTCAGTCACTCTTTGTTTATGGCCTCCTGTCTTACCTCTCTTGATAACTGGAAATATTTTAGCCGTCTTCCAGCTGTTTGGCATTTCTCCAGTCTCAAGTGACTTTCTAAATATCTGTGTGGTTCACTTAATAATTCAGCTCTGTCTTTCAGCACCTGAGATAATAACTGGTCGGGTCCGTGTTCTCTGAAGCGTCAAGCTCCCACAGCAACCTCATTACTTCCTTAATAGTCGTTTCAATTTGCTCCAACTCTATACGTCCCGATCTTCTGCTAATGACACTTGGGCCGTGAACCTGTTCTTGAAGATTTTCTTGAGTTTCTCTCAAACTCTGTCATTGTAGAGAATGTGACAATAATGTGGATGAAACACAACACCCATCTTCGCCTCACCTTCCCTCCAACCCGTTCTCCCACTTTCGTATAGTCAATATTGACTTATTAAATACGTGCATATGTGACATACTAAACATACTAGTTTACCTTGAAAAGCTTCATAGAAAACACCAACCTTACCTAACCTTCTTAGTATGTTAAGATAAGCATCTTATTGCTTCGTAATTACAATTATTACTTAACCTATTATAGGTATAGGTTCAGTAATAATTACAATTATTACTTAACCTATTATAGGTATAGGTTCAGTAATAATTACAATTATTACTTAACCTATTATAGGTATAGGTTAAGTAATAATTACAATTATTACTTAACCTATTATAGGTATAGGTTAAGTAATAATTACAATTATTACTTAACCTATTATAGGTATAGGTTAAGTAATAATTGTAATTACGAAGCAATAAGATGCTTATCTTAACATACTAAGAAGGTTAGGTAAGGTTGGTGTTTTCTATGAAGCTTTTCAAGGTAAACTAGTATGTTTAGTATGTCACATATGCACGTATTTAATAAGTCAATATTGGCTGTAAGAAAGTGCGAGAATGGGTTGTTCCCTCATGCCTCACACTCCCTCTCTCACTCCTGCTGGCTTGACAAGGCTCCAGGATGGATTATGATGAGTTGTGTTTATGAGTGTCTTATGTGAGGAGATCCTCGTCTTGTGTCAGAATCGTCGCCTTATCCTTCACCGTGGTGTTGTATTCCTTTTGATGTGGCCATATCTTAGTCTTTGGTTTGGCTACAGTGACTTTACAAATGTATGATGTATTGTATATTTGAAGATAATTTTCCCTGACCCTCCCTCCTTTCTGTCGCTCTTTATACACTGCTTTTGTCATTTTCTCTACGATT